CAGCCGCACCGAGGAGCTGACATGGCCCACTTTATTGAATATCACTTTGCAAAGCTGTCAGCAGGACATTCAGCGCCTCGCGGCCCCCTAAGGTGCCCGTCCAGGCAGTTCTAAAGAGATTCGCACCAAACAGGGGAAAAAAAAAATGGGGAGATCTCTCATACACACTCTCTCTCTCTCTCTCTCTTTCTCTTTCTCTCTCTCTCTCTCTTTCTTTCTTTTTGTCCAAGGTGAGACAATGCAGGCGGGAGAAAGAGCAACAGATGACAGGAGATAAAGAGCCCAGCGATGCAGGAATATCTTTCTTTTCACTTGGCACCCCGATTCTTTTTTTTTTTTTTTTTTTTTGGTCCTTTCTTTCTGTCACTTCCATTCTCTTCTCCCTCTTTTTTCTTTCCCGCTTTTTTTTTTTTTTTTTTTTGGCTCTGGGAAGGAAGGAGAGGCGGACGGTTTGATTGCAAGGACTGTCACTCTCTTTGTTTGGGATTGTTTCTCTTTTAAAGCCAGCTCCCTTTCTAAGCCTTTCTTTCTTTCTTTCTTTCTTTCTTTCTTTCTTTCTTTCTTTCTTTCTTTCCTTCTTTCTTTTCTTCTTTCCTTCCTCCCTCCCTCCCTCTTTCTTTCTTTCCTTCCTTCCTTCCTTCCTTTCTCTTTCTTTCTTTCCTCCCTCCCTCCCTCCTTCTTTCTTTCCTTCCTTCCTTCCTTTTCTTTCTTCCCTCTTTCTTCCCTCCCTCCTTTCTTTCTTTCTTTTCTCCCTCCCTCTTTCTTTCTTTCTTTCCTTCCTTCCGTTCCGTTCCTTTCCTCCCTCTTTCTTTCTTCCCTTTCCTCCCTCTTACTTTCTTTCTTTCCTTCCTTCCTTTCCTTTCCTTTCCTTCCTTCCTTCCTCTTTCTTTCTTTTTTCTTTCTTTCTTTCCTCCCTCTTTCTCTTCCTTTCTTTTTTTCTTTCCTTGCTTCCTTCCCTCCTTTCCTTTCCTTCCTTCCTTTCCTTTCCTTTCCTTCCTTCCTTCCTCTTTCTTTTTTCTTTCTTTCCTCCCTCTTTCTCTTTCTTTCTTTTTTCTTTCCTTCCTTCCTTCCTCCTTTTTTCCCTCCCTCCTTTTCCTTCCTTCCTTCCCTCCTTTCTTCCTTTCCTTCCTTCCCTTTCTTTCTTCCCTCTTTCTTCCCTCCCTCCCTCCTTCCTTCCTTCCCTTCCTTCCTTCCTTCCTTCCTATCTTCCCTCCCTCCCTCCTCATTCATTCATTCATTCTTCCCCTCTCACTCCACTCATGCTTCTGAAATGTGGTCACTTAATATTTTAGCAAGAAGGATTGGGAAAAGGAAGATCCTGGTCAGCTACAATTGGTGTCCTTCATCTGTCAACCTAAACTCTAATGCTTGATTTAGAAGCCCCATGGTTTGAGTTTGTACACCTGGCTCCCCGAAAACACGATTTAGATTGACATGTTGTGTGAATTCTGTCGGTGGAGATGCAATGCTTCGCTTTCATGGAGAAGACCCATAAATACATCACTTGAGGAACAGTCCCAATCCTCCATCCAAAGGACAGCTTTGACTTCTTGATGAGAAGTCCACCAGTTGAAGGCATCTAAGGAGACTTTGAAAAAGGTTCCGGGAGGAAATTGGAAGTGAAGTGATTGAAAAAAGAAGCTACTTGTCCATTGGACGGAAGTTTGGGTCAAAATGTCGTAATTTCAATCTGACTCTAGAGTTGGGTCAGGTGACCTTCCTAAGCCTCCAAACCTATGTTGAGAACCACACTTGCGCAGTTGCCCCTGGGTACAAGAGGTTGACCACTCTCTGTGGACACCGATAGGGTGACATAATTGATTACAGAGCCAATGGGAAACCGATGGGATGACATAATTGATTACAGAGCCATGGTGGTACTGTGGTTAGAATGCAGTATTGCAAGTTGACTCTGCCCCACTGCCAGCAGTTCGATTCTGACCGACTCAAGGTTGACTCAGCCTTCCATCCTTCCGAGGTCGGTAAAACGAGGAACAGATTGTTGGGGGGCAATAGGTTGACTCTGTAAACCGCTTACAGAGGGCTGTAAAGCATTGTGTAGTGGTATATAAGTCCAAGTGCTATTGCCCTTCCATCCATCTATCCATGATGGACAGTGGTTAGAATACAACATTGCAGGCTGACTCTGCCCACTGCCAGGAGTTCGATTCTGACCGGCTCAAGGTTGACTCAGCCTTCCATCCTCCCGAGGTCGGTAAAACGAGGACCTAAATTGTTGGGGGCAAGATGTTGACTCTCTAAAAGCATTATGAAGCCGCATATAAGTCTAAATCAGGGGTGAAATCCAGCAGGTTCTGACAGGTTCTGGAGAACCGGTAGCAGAAATTTTGAGTAGTTTGGAGAACCGGTAGCGGAAATTTTGAGTAGTTCGGAGAACCGGTAGCGGAAATTTTGAGTAGTTTGGAGAACCGGTAGCGGAAATTTTGAGTAGTTCGGAGAACCGGTAGCGGAAATTTTGAATAGTTTGGAGAACCGGTAGCGGAAATTTTGAATAGTTTGGAGAACCGGTAGCGGAAATTTTGAATAGTTTGGAGAACCGGTAGCGGAAATTTTGAGTAGTTCAGAGGACCGGTAGCAGAAATTTTGAGTAGTTCGGAGAACCAGTAGTGGAAATTTTGAGTAGTTCGGAGAACCGGTAGCGGAAATTTTGAATCGTTCGGCAAACTGGCCACCTCTGGCTGGCCCCAGAGTGGAGTGGAAATGGAGATTTTGCAATATCCTTCCCCTGCCATGCCCACCAAGCCACATCCACAGAACTGGTAAAAAAAAATGGATTTCACCACTGGTCTAAGTGCTACTTGTTAAGTGCGATTCTTGGGAACAACTGTTGAAAGAAGAATGATCTTCTACACAACATATACTCTATTTCACCCAAAACCTTGTCGTAAACTCCAAAACGGGCATTGCAGCTTCGGTTACAGCTGGCTAGTTCCAGGCGCTGCATTGGCCATTGACAAGGCGCCTCTGATGCTTGTCCCCAGCTGAGCTTCAAATGACTTTTTTCATTTTTCTATACCCGCCGTCTTGTCTGTTTGGTATTCTCGGGACTCCTTGCCAATGTGCGTTCTCATTCTGTTGCAACCGAATTACTAGATTAAAACGCATATCAATGATTACACTATATATATATATAGTGTATATATATTATTTTTTTCCCCTTCAGCTCCAGGTTTCATGCCGCGCAAAACCTTAAACTATGTTAAACTGTAATCAAAACTTGCCTGGAGGGCAGGAGGGGAGGCTGGGGGAAGAAGAAGAAGCAGCTGACGAAATGAATCAGATGCATTTTGGTTCTTTCTAGCAATCGAGAACTTCATCTCGGCAGTTTAAAAAAAATAAAATAAAATAGGTCAGGCAGGGGTGGAGTTGTTTTTATTTTGCAGGCTCTCATTCGGTCCGGATCGCCACCTCGTCTCTCATGTTGGAAGCTCAGTTGAAGAAGCTCAGTTAGTTTGCATTCGGGGGGCATTTTGGTAGCTACCTTGCTGTGCTTCCCCAAAACAAGAAGCGAGTGGAATGGAATGGAATGGAATGGAATGGAATGGAATAGAATAGAATAGAATAGAATAGAATAGAATAGAATAGAATAGAATAGAATAGAATAGAATAGAATAGAATAGAATAGAATAGAATAGAATAATGGAATGGAATGGAATGGAATAGAATAGAATAGAATAGAATAGAATAGAATAGAATAGAATAGAATAGAATAATGGAATGGAATAGAATAGAATAGAATAGAATAGAATAGAATAGAATAGAATAGAATAGAATATTGGAGTGGAGTGGAGTGGAGTGGAATAGCATAGCATAGAGAAGGGAGGGGAGAGGAGAGGAGAGGAGAGGAGAGGAGAGGAGAGGAGAAGAGAAGAGAAGAGAAGAGAAGAGAAGAGAAGAGAAGAGAAGAGAAGAGAAGAGAAGAGAAGAGAAGAGAAGAGAAGAGAAGAGGGAATGGAATGGAATGGAATGGAATGGAATGGAATGGAAGCTGGAAGCTGGAAGCTGGAAGCTGGAAGCTAGAAGCTAGAAGCTAGAAGCTAGAAGCTGGAAGGAACCTTGGAGGTCTTCTAGTCCAGCCCCCTACCCAAGCAGGAGACCCTATAAAATTTGAGACAAATGCCTGTCCAGTCTCTTCTTAAAAACCTCCAGTGATGAAGCACCCACAACGTCTGAAGGCAACTTCTGTTCCACTGGTTAATCGTTCTCACTCTTAGGAAGTTTTTCTCCTTAACAGACTAGTGCAGTGTTGGCTAACCTTTTTGGCAATGAGTGCCAGAATGGAAGTGCACACGTGCGGGGGATGCATGCGCCAGGAAGCTCAGCTTCTGGTTTTCAGCGTGCACATACGTGCCAGTCACCTGGTCTTCCCGTATCTGGCGCACATGCACATGTGAAGACCAGCTGGCCGCGGTGCATGTGTACGCCGGAATCCAGAGTCAGACATCAGTGAGGCAGAGGAACAGGGGGAGCCTGTTCCTAGTGTGCACATGCTCAGAGCTGCCAGAAGGCAAGAACAGTTAAAACAAAAGGGACGACTCAGGAGTAAGGCTTGGAAATGATTGGCCCCTCCCATAAGACATAAAGGAAGAGCAAAGGCATGTGGGCCTTTGCAGGAAGCAACGTTGTGGATGGTGTCGGTTTGTAGCTCCGTTTTTGACTCTGTGTTTCTGTGTGGCCTTGCCAAGATAATTGCCCATTAGGTCTTTGGCAGTGTGTCAAAGAAGATAAAGGTGGGTGTTTACCAGCCTTATCCAAAGGACTGTGGCAGACTTCTGTTGGACACTCTTGGTGATTCAGCATGTGCTGTGAATGAAAAGAATTCACAGCCGTTAAAATAAAAAAAGAAACCACCAGTTTCTCGTCGTCTTGGTCAAAAGTGGGCTTCATATACTGTAGCAACTGATTCACCTAGCACCGGAAATGTGAGTGCATGCGGCATCACACGTGTGCGGTGTCACATGCGTGCGGCATCACAAAACATGGCAATTCATGCGTGTGCGCCGTACGCACGTGCCTGTGCCATCAAAAACACCAGTCGAACCAGTCTGACCACCTCTGGTCTTGGTGTCCTTCCACGGATTGCAATTCCCAACATCTGCAGCCGGCGTGGCTGCTTCGATCAGGAATTTGGCAAGCGTGCTCCAGGTTGGGAATTCTCAGGGGACAGAAATTACGGATATCCAGATGGGACCAGAAGGGAGGAGAGCGAAGGAAAGGCGAAGAGGAAGGGATCTGGATTCTTCCTCTCCGAACACGCGAGCCATCCGTCTTTTAATGAATGCGTCTCCATGTTCAGCCTGGACGGCAAATCCTTGCAGGCCTTCTGAAGGGTTCTTGAGGGAAACGAAGCCGTTCCTCGGTGCTTTTTGAGAGCCGGTAGAAAGATGGAGGGTCTCAGCGTGGCCAATTTCTGCCTAATCCTGTTGATTAATTTAACTTCAAGGGTTAGAGTCCCTCTGAAGTGAGGGAAGCGTTCCACGGGTGTGAGCAGAGAGAAGGAGGACAGGGAGGGGGGGGAAATAATTCTTCCTTCTCACGTTGTATGGAGGCAGAAAGCAAGGCTACTCAGGAGAAAGTGACATTCTGGAATAAATCCGGAAGAGCTTTTATTGGTCTCGGTTGGATTAGAGCAGGGGTGTCAAACTCAAGGCCTACGGGCCGGATCCGGCATGCGGGGTGCTGAAATCTGGCCCGCGGGGCCGGCCTGGAGATAGCAAATGATTGGCCTGCAGTGCCTCTGGCAGCCAAAATGGGGCACAGACAGGAAATGGGGGTTCATATACTGCTACCACTGGTTCGCCCAGCACCAGAAATGGGAGCACGTCAAAAAGCAGTGGTATAGGACAGGATTGCGCCTGGGTGGTGGGTGGGGCCTGCAGGTTGCTACTACCGGTTCGCCAGAACCAGGCCGAACCAGCTGAATACCAACTCTGGTGCAGGGCCCATGTGCGGCCCGTCCGTGCCTTGTTTTGGCCGGCGAAGTACTCCAGGAAGCGTCCGTCCTGTTCCCCGCCCCCACCCCGCCAACCCGCAGAGGAGAACTACAAGGCTGATCTGGCCCTCGAAGAAATCCACTTTGACACCTCCCCTCTGGATTAGAAAGAAGGAAAAAGGATCTAGATGGAACGATCTATCCTTGATTGTGGAAAAGAAAACCCTTTTTGGTAGACCTACTCCAAGTAGGACCAATCTCTGGCTCTTCTCCACCTCTCAGTTGGGTTCACACAACCAACAAAGCTTGATTCCGTTCTTCTCAGCATTGCTGTAGCCAGATGTTTGTGCGAACGCAGGTAGTCCTCGACTTACGACCACAATTGAGCCCAACATTTATGTCTCGCTAAGCGAGACACTTTGTGAAGTAAATTTTGCGACATGCTACAACTTTCCTTGCCCTGGTGGTTTGGTGAATCACTCATTAATAACTCAGTTGTTAAGCGAATCTGACTTCCCCAACAACTTTGGTCACAAAAGCATGTGACACCCCCCCCCCAGGACACTGCAACCGTCATAAATATGAACCAAGCATCCGAATTTTGATCTCGTGACCATGGGGATGCTGCAACGGTCGTAGGTGTGGAGACGAGACACTTTTTTCATTGCCGTTGTAACTTTGAACAGTTACTAAATGAACTGTTGTAAGTCGAGGACGACCTGTACTTCAAATCCAGATTCGGTATTCCTGCCCTTGTGTGAACACATCCAAGAGTTTTGGATAATCCGGCGGTGATTCCCTTCTCTAGTCCGGCCTACCTTACAGGGATGTTGTGGGGTCAAAAAAAGGCAGGACCATCCTATACACTGCCTTGACCTTGAGGAGAAAATAGAAAATACGATAAGAAATTCAAAACAATGAATTTCCACAGCAGGGCAGCGTTTAATAGGGACTGTCCGCAGGTTTTTCTACTTTCTAGGACCTTTTTGCCATTGCGTGCCAGGAAGGGGTGGGTGGGGGAGGTTCGCACGTGCGCATGCCCACACCATAGTTCTATGCGCCCTGCCCTGTGCATGCACACATGACTCCTCCTCCCCCACTGCTCCTGGCACATGATGGCCCAGTAGGCCTGTTTTTCTTTCTCACCTGGCTCCAGATCCTCTCTATGCATCTGGGGAGGGCGAAAACAGCCTTCCCCACCTCCTCGGAAGCCCTCCGGAGGCCTGAAACTTCCGGTTGGACAGGAAGTGACTTTTTTGCTGTCCCCAGCCTCCAGAGACTCCTAGAGAGGGGTGGGGAAGGCTGTTTTTGCCCTCCCCAGATGCATAGAGAGGATCTGGAACCAGATGAGAAAGAAAAACGGGCCCAACACTAGAGGGCAGGAAAGTCATTTTTTTAATAAAAAAAGTGGGAGCTGCTACCATCTGATGGCCACCTGCATTTTTGCAGCTTAGTTGTGGTTATTTACTGGTTTTGTTCCAAAATCTGAGGGGCTGCCCCAGAAAAGTGGGTGTCAGCCTATTCTCCCAGGCACCTGAGGGCAGGACAAGAAGCAATGGATGGACACTAATCAAGGAGAGAAGCAACCGAGAACTCAGAAGTTTCCTGACAGTGAGAACAATTCATCAGTGGAACGGTTTGCCTGCAGGAGTGGTGAGTGCTCCAACACTCACAAGTTTTTAAGAAGAGATTGGACAACCATTTGTCTGAAATGCCATAGGGCCGTGATGGCAAACCGATGGCACGCGTGAAGCCACGTGGCCTGGCACGCGCGACATCACCCATTCTTCTTCTGGGTTTCTGGTGCGTGCAAATCAGCTTTATCTCCCTTATCACGCTGCCAAAGACCTAATTGGCAATTAGCTTTGCAAGGCCACACAGAGCACAGAGTCAAAACGGAGCTTCAGAATTTAAACCGACCAGAACGAACAAAGTTGCTTCCTGCAAAGGCTCACGTGCCTTTGCTCCTCCTTTATGTCTTATGGGAGGGGCCAATCATCTCCAAGCCTTACTCCTGAGTCGCCCCTTTTGCCTTAACTGTTCTCGCCTTCTGGCAGCTCTGCGCATGTGCGCATTGGGAACAGGCAGCTCTGTGCATGTGTGCACCAGAAACCCAAAAGGCTAACCCAAAAGAAACCGGATGTTCATTTTTGGACGCGCACATGCTCTTTGGACAGCTCCTCTTCCTTTTTTGGCCCAGACCTGGTGCCTAAAAGGTTCGCCATCACTGCTATAGGATTTCCTGTCTGAGCAGGGGGTTGGACTAGAAGACCTCCAAAGGTCCCTCCCAACTCTCTTATTCTGTTATTCTGTTTTCCTCTCTGGGGGACATGGCTGCCCTCAACGAGACATGGTCCCTTCCATCACACACACAGGAGAACAGTGACCCTGACTTCTGGAACACAGGGAGTCCTCGACTTGTGACGGGTTGCTTAGCGATTGTTCAAAGTTGTCATGGACCACAACCCCCCCCCCAGAAGCCACAAAATTGCAGCTCCCACCAGTTCCCGCCCTCTCCATCGTTCACCCTTGCAACTTGATATCTCTCGCATAGGTCTCCTGAGTGAGCAGGGGGTTGGACTAGTTGACCTCCAAGGTCCCTTCCAACTCTTTTTACTGTTATTATGATTACTGATTGCCAGGACCTTGTTAAGGATATTGTTGTTGTGTTACCAACCAGCAGAGTGTAGAGCACAGAGAAACGTTGCTGAGAGCAATGAATAAAAGATATGCAAACTGGTTTATCAAAAGTTTACTTTATAGTGAAAAAACAAATTCCAAGTCTTTGCCAGTAAAATCAGTCCAGTAGTTACAGATACCTTCTCACCAAACAGACAGTAGTTGGTTAGAATAACAAACTCACTCTGGTTCACAAACCACGATGGTAGCAGATCCATCAAACGATGATAGCAGATAGCAACTCCTCACGATGGTAGCATATCATACTCTGGTAGCATATCACATCAGCTTCATACACAATGGCAGCATATCATAGCAGCAACTGAACACGTTACAATACCTTGCTTAAATACTCTCACAACCCGTCATTACCTAATTACAGCATGACTCAGCATTACAATGAATCAACAAGAAAACCTTTAAAGTCACATAATACATTTACAGATTAAAGTTACAGTACACATATATTGCCTGGACAACTTGTTAGGCTCAAACCATATCCTAACAACGCTGCAGCCTGGCGCTCTTCTGCAAGCCAATGGGTCTTCTCGCGAGTCAGTGGGCAGCTTGGCTGATTTTTTTGGTTTTTAAGGAGGCTCCATTGCAATGAATGGAGCCTCTTTTTTTTTTTTTTTTAAAAACAGAACCTGCTAAAAAAAAACAGTGAGAATTGCACCTGGCTGCAAGAAGAGCATCCTCATTGCAGGGAAGCTGAGCCTGGTGTCACATCGGTCACATCTTTTTTTCTGCAAAAAAGAGTAGGGGGTGGGTGGGCTGTGGGGCCTGGCGGGGCTCGAGGAGTAGGCCAAGGTCTGCAAAGCCCTGGGGGGGGGGGGGGGGCTTTTGCTGCCAGCTTTGGCCTCTCTTTAGGCTGACTGAGCCCTGGGGGGGACCCTGAGGGGCAGGGGGAGGCCTTAGGGGTACTGGGGGGGGAGGAAGAGGTAGGCCGAAGCCTACAGCCTATAACAGCCCCCCCCCCCCCGAGGGCTTGTAGCTTCTCTAGGCTCCCTTGCCTGGCTAAATGGCTGCCTTGGGGTTAGACTCAGGTTTGGGGGGACCCTGAAGGGAAGGGGGCAGCCTGGGGTGGGGGGCGGAAAGTAGGCCGAGGCCTACTACAGGCTGTAATTTTTTTGCTTTAGGCCAAGGGAGGGGAGGGGTCCAACTTTGGCCATTGATAGGACTTGTGGACTTCAACTCCTCTTCTTTGTGGCAAACGCGCAAATACTGGAATACTGCTAGTATCTTGTCACTCCTAATTCTTCTTTTCTTTAGACTAGCCCAAACCCCAAACCCTTTTTCTAATTTTTTTTTAATTTAATTTTTTTGAAAAATTAATTAATAAGAACTAACGAAATGGCCTTGGTGAGTGACTAAGGGAGCATCCTCTGAAATTGAAACGATTTGTTTTTCCAATTTAAACCTGCCTCTCCGTTGTCCCTCAACAGTTAACGCCTTTTTTTAAAAAAAAATTAAATGATTAATAAAAAACTTTTTTATAAAAAGCAGTTAACGCCCTTTAGAGAATAAACATAAAAATTAGAAATACAAAATAGACGAGTGAAATATGGAAAATGTATTAAATAAATTGTATTAATTAAATACAATAAAATAAAATGTATTAATTAAATAAATTAAGAAGAGGATTGTCATAGTATTAGATATTTAATGTATTGGTATTAAGCTAAGAATAGATTAAATAACGAATACGGCTGTAAACTTTTAACTGTTACTGCACAAAATATTTGTACCCACACACTGTTTAATGGAAGATGGATTGTTTGTATTAAAATAAAATTAATTAAAAAAAAAAACAACAGTTAACGCCCTGTTCCACGTATCTCCCATTTTTAACCCCATTTTTCTCTTTTCTTTTTTCCTCCCCATCAGGCGGTAGATTGGATGACGGTTCTGATGTCGAATCTGAACCAGACCTTCCTTTGAAGCGCAAACAACGCCGTAGTCGAACTACTTTTACAGCCGAGCAGCTGGAAGAATTGGAAAAAGCTTTCGAAAGGACCCACTACCCAGACATATACACTCGAGAGGAGCTGGCTCAGCGGACAAAGCTGACCGAGGCCCGTGTCCAGGTCAGCGAAAAACATCTGCCTTGGGGTTGGAAGGGAAGCTGTGGGAACAGGCCTGGCACGGGGGTGCCAAGAATTTGGAAACTGGAATGGCCCCAGATGCAAACCGCCTCTTAAAAATTGTGGCGACCCGGCTTTGTTTTTTTCCTGGGTGAAAAAAATAATAATATTTCCCTCGGTTTCCCCCTCCATTGCATTAGGGGAGCCGTTTCTCTCTGCCACACAAAATTACCAAGAATTTATTTTAAATAAAATAAAATAGAAGGACACGGCCAGGATGGCAAGTCAGAGAGAAGGAAAGAATTTGGCCAACCCTTTACCATTTTTACAATTTTTCAAAGGGACGCGGTGGCTCAATGGCTAAGGCGCTGAGCTTGTCGATTGAAAGGTCGGCAGTTCAGCGGTTCGAATCCCTGGTGTCGCGTAACTGGGTGAGCTCCCGTGACTTGTCCCAGCTTCTGCCAACCTAGCAGTTCGAAAGCACGTAAAAAAAAATGCAAATAGAAAAATAGGGACAACCTTTGGTGGGAAGGGAACAGCATTCCGTGCGCCTTTGGCATTGAGTCATGCTGGCCACAGGACCACAGAGACGTCTTCGAACAGCGCTGGCTCTTCGGCTTTGAAACGGAGATGAGCACCGCCCCCTAGAGTCGGGAACGACTGGCACATATGGGTGAGGGGAACCTTTACCTTTAACTTACAATTTTAAAAATCTGGTTGATAAATCTCGGGTCAACACGGCACAGGTGAGGATTGTGAAGTGAGCATCCGGAGTGACAGTGAAGGGATTGGTGCAAGGCGGAAGACATGAATGGTACCTTGGCCACTCGGGCATCTTATAAATTTAATTCACCGTTTGTCTCAAGGGTTTTTGGGTGGAAAAAACTTTTTTTTCCCCTTCACTCTGCCACCTTGTGGGAAGGCTCTGCGGGCCCGGAATTATATATTCCAGGGAGGGTTAACAAAACAGCAACTTCTGTTTACCATATTTTTTGGAGTATAAGACGCACTGGAGTATAAGACGCACCTACCTTTTTTGGTGAGGAAAAGAAGAAAAAGAAATCTCCCTCTGCCTCTGAGCAATTTTGGCTCCTTGCAGCAAACAGCCTGCTTTACTTTCAGTTTCGTTTTCAGCATCGCTTGATTAGCACAAGGGGGAAAAAAAATCTGCTCCCAGCAATTTACCTCTTTGCAGCAAGCAGCAGAGCCCTGTGCAAAACAGCTGAGAGCAAATCAGCTGGGAGTTGGGAGGCCGATCCAATCAACTTGTGCTCATTAGGCTGTGCTGAAGCTGAAAGGAGCTGTTTTTTTCTTGCTGTTTGCTTGCAAGGAGATAACTGCTGCAAGGCAGAGGCCAAAGGGCGGGGGCTACATTTGGTGTATAAGACGCACCTAAATTTTCACCCCCTTTTAGGGGGAGGAAAGGTACGTCTTATACTCCAAAAAATACAGTAATTTAATTTTAATGGTGCATTGGCACATACGGAGTTTTGAAAGACTGTTCACCTAACCAGCCTCTTTATTGGCCTCTTAATAGAGTTTTTTGGGACTATTGTCAAAAGTTCACCATTGGAGAAAGGCAGGGGATGTTTTTAGCAAGGGCAGCCTCCTTTTACCTGAAAACATTTCAGTGTCCACAGTGCGGTTTGGGGGAAGGGGGAAGATCTCTGTCCAGAATTCAAAGCTGCAATTTGCAGGATTCCTTCGTCCACGTTCGTCCTTCTTTTGCCAGCACACTTCCAGCAGCTGTTGATTCCCCTGCGTTTCTCATGGTTTTCTCATCCATCTCCCCCCACCCCACCCCACCCCTTTCTGGCACCGTCCGCATCTTCCCACCACTCTACCCTCTTTAAAATTTTCTGGGTATCAAAAAAGGATCTTTTTACTGGCTCTGGAGACATCCTGGATGACAGCATGGAAAAAAAAAAAACAAGGAGCCAAAAAAACTGAGGGTGGGTTTTGGGGCTCCGTTTTGGTCGTAAGTCGAGGACTGTCTGTACCTATGTATATTAATCACAGTCCCTCTGAAATATTTATGTATGTATGTATGTATGTATTAATTTATTTTAAATTTTGATTTATATGCCGCCCTTCTCCGGAGACTCAGGGCGGCTTACAATGCGCTAAGCAATAGCCTTCATCCTTTTGTATATTTATACAAAGTCAGCTTATTGCCCCCACAAACTGGGTCCTCATTTTACCTACCTTAGAAAGGATGGAAGGCTGAGTCAACCTTGAGCCTGGTGAGATTCGAACCTGCAATAATTGCAGGCAGCTGAATGTTAATAACAGGGTGCTTTAGACCACTGTACTACCAAGGCTCTTGTATTTATTTATTGATTGATTGATTGATTGATTGATTGATTGATTGATTCGATTTATATGCCGCCCTTCTCCGGAGACTCAGGGCGGCTTACAATGCGTTAAGCAATAGCCTTCATACTTTTGTATATACCTGCTTAGTAGGGCTTTCGCCCCCCCCAAGCGGTGTTCTTTTTTTTTATACAAAGTCAGCTTATTGCCCCCACAATCCGGGTCCTCATTTTACCTCCCTCGGAAGGATGGAAGGCTGAGTCAACCTTGAGCCTGGTGAGATTCGAACTCGCAGTAATTGCAGGCAGCTGGCAGCTAAGTGGTACTTAACAGCACTTTAGTCCGCTGCGCCACCAAGGCTCCTAAATACATAGTGGAGTCTCTTATCTTGAGAGTTAACAAGGCTGATAGTATTACCCGTGATGGCAAACTTATGGCACGCGTGCAAGAGGTGGCACGCAGCGCCCTTACTGTCGGGACGCGAGCCGTCGTCCCAATTCAGCTCTGCCACGCATCCGTGCGTGCCTCCCGCCAGCCAGCTGGTTGTCAGGTCTCTGCCACACATGCGGGGGGGACAGGAGGCGCGTGGGGAACGGGGCACATGCGGGGCACGCACGCGCATTACATTTTGGGGGTTTCGGGCGCACACGCGCTTTGGCCACCTGTTCCGGAAAAGATTAGCCATCCCTCTACTATCCGGTACAAAGCTATTACAGAATTTAGTTGTTCTGCTTAATTCGTCAATTCATTTGTACAAATCAATTTAGAAAGGATTGGTTTATAAGCGAACCAATTAGCCTTTTCTTATGTTCCCGGCTCCATTCTCTCCCAAGCAGGGAGAAGTTTCAAGAAATTATTTTATGGGTTTACCCTGTAGAATAGAAGAGCGTTCTTTATTGGCCAAGCGTGATTGGACACACAAGGAATTTGTCTTAGGTGTATGTGCTCTTCAGTGTACGTAAGGAGAATAAAAGACATTCATCGAGAATAAAAAGATACAACACTTAGCGATAGTCATAGGTTACTAATAAAATATCAAATCGTACTAGGAAACAAATAAAAACAATATAAATTGAAAGATACAAGCAACATGGTTATAGTCATAAGTGGGAAGAGATAGATACTAGTAAGGAAGAGAAGAGTAATAATAGTGCATTGATGAATAGTTTGACAGTGTTGAGGGAATTATTTGTTTAGCAGAGTGATGGCGTTCGGGAAAAAACTGTCCTTGTGTCTAATTGTTCTGGTGTGCAGTGCCCTATAGTGTCGTTTTGAGGGTAGGAGTTGAAAATAGGCCTTATCCTTTGCAAATCCACAACAGATCTAGCTTTAAAAGTCAACGTATTTCCAAAACTATTTCATCCATCCTTTCCTTCTCCCATTTGAGATGATAGATAGAATTCTTTATTGGCCAAGTGGGATTGGACACACAAGGTGTACCTAAAAAGAGAAGATACATTCGTCAAGGATCATAAGGTGCAACACTTAATGATAGGCTTAGGGTACAAATAAGCAATCGAATCATACTAGGAAACAATATCAATATAAACCGTAAGAATATAGCAACAAGTTACAGTCATACAGTCATAAGTGGGAGGAGATGGATGATGGGAACGATGAGAAGATTAATAGTAGTGCAGATTTAGTGAATAGTTTGACAGTGTTGAGGGGATTATTTGTTTAGCAGAGTGATGGCGTTCGGGGAAAAACTCTTCTTGTGTCTAGCTGTTCTGGTGTGCAGTGCTCTATAGCGTCATTTTGAGGATAGGAGTTGAAACAATTCATGTCCAGGATGCGAGGGGTCTGTAGATATTTTCCCAGCCCTCTTTTTGACTCGTGCACTATACAGATCCTCCATGGAAGGCAGGTTGGTAGCCGTGTTTTTTTCTACAGTTCTAACTATCCTCCGAAGTTTCTGTCTGTCTTGTTGGGTTGCAGAGCCAAAGCAGACAGTTATGGAGCGTCAATGGTGAAACCTTCAAATAGTAAGGTTGACGTGACATCATCGGGTGACGATCATCGTAAACTCACAATAAAACAAATAAGGTAGTAGTCCCTGACTTACAACAGTTGGTTTAGTGACTGTTCGAAGATACGGCATCGGCGAAACACTTATGACCATTGCAATGAGTCCGGACGTTCGGACACTTGGCAACTGGCATGTACTTATGACAGTTGCAGTGTCCCGGGGTGACGCCATTCCCACTTTGGCAACCGTCTGACAAGCCATGTCAGTGGAGAAGCCAGATTTACTTAACAACCGTGTGACTTACTTAACAACTGCAGGGGTTGGTTTTAACACCTGTGGCAAGAATGGTCGTATAACGGGGCAGAATTCATTGAACAGACGTCTCACTTAACAGAAATGTTGGGCTCAATTGGTGGTCGTGAGTGGAGGGCCTACCTGTAAAATTGCTAGAATTCCAGCAGAAGTCTGGCATTCCATTGCAAATGGGGGGGGTCAATGAGGGGGCTGTTTTCTATTTAAAAAGTGGGAGGCGGAGCTTAGAGAGGGGGTGGAGCTAAGGACTTGCCCTTGACTTATGACCACAACTGAAATTTCTCTGGTTAAGTGAGACATTTGTCAAGTGAGTTTTGCCCCATTTTTACCACCATTTTTGCCCCCGTCATTAAGTGAATCCCTGCAGTTGATAAGTTAGTCCCCCGGTTGTTAAGCGAATCTGGCTTCC